GTCGTTGCCCCCCCCGCCCCCCCGGGCTGCAGGCGGCGCTGCCCCGGCTCTGGGTGTGTTTGGCTATAGGGGGTGGGCGACATAGTGTTCGGCTGCTTTGACAGTGGGTGGGCACCAGTGTGGTACGTGTGTAAGGTGTGCGGCCAAGCGTGTGCCAGGAACAGGCACCCAGGGGTGGCTCTAGCTTTTTTGCTGCCCCAAGCACGGCAGGCAGGCTGCCTTTGGCGGCAGGGCCGGCTTTAGGCCAATTCCCCCGAATCGGGCCCCGTGCCCAGTTGCAGGGCCGCCCAGAGCGGGGGGGGCAAGTGGCAGAGAATCCCTTCCCTGGCTAGAGGCGCCTTTTTAATTTTTACTCACCCAGCGGCGCTCCGGGTCTTTGGCGGCACTTTGGTGGTGAGTCCTTCACTTGCTCCAGGTCTTTGGCGGCGGGTCTTTCAGTGCCACCAAAGATCCGGCGCGAGTGAAGGACCCGCCGCCAAAGACTAGGAGCGCAGTCCAATGAGTACGAGCCCCACGTGGTTTTTTTACGTGGTTTTTTTTTTTTAGTCATCCCTGCCGGGGCCCTGTCGAAATTGTTCAAATTGGGCCCCGCACTTCCTAAAGCCGGCCCTGTTTGGTGGCGCGCCTGCGGGAGGTCCCCGGTTCTGCAGATTCGGCGGGATGCCTGTGGGAGGTCCACCGGTCCCATGGCTTCAGTGTACCTGCCGCTGAATTGTCGCCAAATCCGCGGGACCAGAGGACCTCCCACAGGCAAGCCGCCGAAGGCTGCCAGACTGCCGTCCTCGCAGGGACCGGCAGGGCGCCCCTCACGGCTTGCCACCCCAGGCACGCGCTTGGAGCGCTGGTGCCTGGAGCCGCCGCTGCAGGCACTGGCACTAGCGGGGCTCTGAGGGGGGAAATAACCATACACAATCTGAATGGAAACCCTTGGGGCAGCTCAGCCCCTCCTGAAGGGCAGGAATACGTCGGAACATTGTAGATTTCATGGATCTCTAGCGGGGTGGTCACCTGCAGGGGTTTAAGGGGCTGGCCCTGAAGGGGTTAAAACAATTCCAGGAAGAGAAAAGGCTGGGCTGAGTGGGGGGGCAGCCACAGCTGGCCCTATAAAAGGACTGCTAGCCAGGAACTTAGGCAGACTTTCTCTCTAGCTGTGATGGGCCTGGCTGCTTGGGAGCACAGCAGGATACCTAGAGTGGAGCAGGGCTAAGGAAAGGCCAGAGGAGCTGGGGAGCTCCAGGCCTGGAAAACCCCCAGGCTGCAGGCCTTAGGGTGACCAGAAGTCCCAATTTTATAGGGACAGTCCCGATTTTTGGGTCTTTTTCTTATATAGGCTCCTATTACCCCCCACCCACTGTCCCGATTTTTCACATTTGCTCTCTGGTCACCCTAGCAGGCCTTGCTAAAGGCTGGAAAGGGTGCGGGGTTGCAGAGGTGCAGCCCAAGATAGGCAAAGGCAGCAGGTTCAAACCCCCCTGCCGATGATGAGTGGATGATGAGGGCATACCCCCTTACAGAGGATAGACAGCAGTGCCCAGTTGCTCAGTGCAAGCGGACAGGGAGAGAGACACTGTGTACTACAAAGAACCTAGCCTGATTTTTCACACTTGTTATCTGGTCAACCAGTGAGCGGGGCTAGATGGTGACTTGCAGTAGCCACTGAGGCAAGGTTGGGATAGAGGGTTGGGGGTTCCCCTAGGTGGGGAGACCCAGAGGGTGGGGGTACTGCCAGAGGGCAGCACGCAAGGTAAAGGGGAACCAGATTCTGGGAGGGACACGGGCTTGAGGCACATGGGATACTGGCCAGTAGAGGGTGCTCCAAGACTGGAAAAGCTAATTCCCTGGATGGCCAGCGGGAGGTGCCGCACCAGTGAGTCACCGTGCCGCTGGGATCCTTGTCCCTTCAGAGTGGATTCTGGGAATTAAGGGTGCTGAGGGATCACTGAGAAAGGGACCCTAGGCGTGCTCCAACTCTGCAGACACAAAACTCCCTCCCTCCTTACTGAGTTGTTCTGCTAGCTCTCCCTCCACATTTTTCCTGAAGGTCAACATGGTACGTTGACTTCTGTTCTCCCTACAGCTACATTTGAGATCAAAGCAAGTTACTACAGTACTGCTTTGAGTTGTAGCAAGTCCTGCTCAGATTCTGGCACCCTGCAGGAAATGGTGACGGGCTGTGGCCAGTGCCCACACTGCCCTTCCTAAACCCCTGCCCCTCCAATGCCACAGAGCATAGGTGCTAGAACTAGCAGAGCAGGGGGTGCTGCAGCACCCCCTGACTTTTAGAGGTTTCCATTATATACAGGGTTTACAGTTTGGTTCAATGGCTCTCAGCACCCCCACTATACAAATTGTTCTAGTACCCCTGCCACAGAGAGACATCTTCAGAGTCCAGGGGAGAGCTGCATGGAAGGGTGGAAACTGCTCCTCTGCAAGCAGAGTGGTCCCCTAGTAGAGGGGCACACAGGAGGGGATACACTAGGCCAATGGTCTTGTCTGTTCTGTGGACATAAAAATTCCCTTTGCACTTTTCATAAGAGTAAAGGGTTTAGTGCTGTGCCCTTGGCTACAATTTCACCTCACTCTATTAATGCTAGCTGTTTCCTTTCCTAACTTAGATGGGGCTCCATTTTAAGGTGTAATCCTTAGGGATGAACGGTGCTTATACATATAATATCTAATCCAATGATTTTGAGAATTTATGATAAGGGCAGTGTTTATTTGTTGTACATCTGTAACAGCAAAAGGATATAAAACGATTTGATAGTAGGGGACAATGTTTTTCCTTAAATTATGAAAAGTCATCACAGAAGATATTTTCTTATGTCTGAAATAGCACAAAAAACTAATCACATTTTTAAATATCTTTGCTCTGAGGAAAACAAGTTTGAAGTATAATCATACACACTTTTTTGTTGAGCACTTCCTTGATTTTCAGAAGCTACAAAGTCTCCTTAATGTTGTACTTACTTACTTACTTCCAGGCAATCTCTTACAGCATATACATATAGGAATCAAAATCTGGACAATGTTCCTGTTTTTATTAGAACAGCAAAATACTTTAAATGACTCTAAGAGCAAGGGTTATGATTCTCATAAGGCGGAGATATGAGGTCCTTCGTCCTCCCTCTCTGTCAATGCTACCAAAGTGTCAAGATCAGGGTCATTTTGTTCATTCTCTGGCTCCAAAATAATTGCCACTTCTGAAAACCTTACTCCTTTCAGTTCTTTCCCATTATTACGCATTGTTGGATCAGGTGTTAAGGAAAAAGCTGGTCCATCATTGGTTTCTGTCGGAAAGCAAGTCTGCAAGAAATTATAATGAATAATACAAATGAGACAAAATGTCACGAAGGTACAGAATTAGACAAATTCTAAACAGGCAAAATCTCAAATACTTTTTTCTGTGTTCCACACTTGAAATATGGAGAGAGTGCATATTTTTGTAATGGTGAAGGTTGCTGGACCAGCAGTAAATGAGATGCCTTTCGGTACATACTGTAGATATAAATGACTCCTAGTCCTTTACTGGACCCAGTCTTCATTCTTTCATTTTTCAATTCAAATTACCTGATTGGTAACAGCTTCTGTAGTGAGCTGAGGAGCTACATTATTAGGCTTAGTGGTCTCTTTGGGTGCTACATTTTCTTCATGTTCATTTTTAACATCTAATAGTAGAATGTCACGGTCATCATATTTTTGTTTCTCTACTAATATTTCCTTCTCATCATTGTTTTTATTGATATTTTCCACATCTTTAACCTCCATCACTTGGGCATCACTGAAAAAGAGTAAGATAATGTATGAGGCCCTAATCCTGCAAGTACTCGTGCATGAAAACCTGGCTCTGTTGAAATCAATGGCAAAACTTG